GGGGGGGGGGTCGCTTGCACTAAGTGTATTTAATATTTTTTCCAAAAGCCACACACAAATATCTACCTTTTAGTCCAATATTATGTGCAGTTTTTTTTAACCTTTATTTCTTTTGTATATTTCTGATTAAACCTGTTTTCCACATCTTTGAGAATAACACTCAGGTGGGGAGGAGGACAGCTGTAATCTCTGTCTCCTCAGTTCATCTCAGACCCCTAGKGGCAACTCTTAACCACTTAAGAGTYCTCTGGAGCAGTCTTAACTTTTCTTGAGAGTAAGAGTGATTCTTAGACTTAAGAATATTGATAACTGGCATTTACACTTAAGTCTGAGAGTAGGAGCAAATCTAAGAAATTTTCAGCACTTAAGTCAAAAAATCCACTCTTAAGAAGTTTGATAAATACAGGCCCTGATCTTTGTGCAACAAATGAACACAAACTAAAGAATTATTTATCAAATATATAATTTAATGTTATTGCAACCAAAATTTCTGACACAAATATTTAAATACTTTTGGCGCACATTTGAATTCCAATCAAACATTCTGAGCCACTGGTTTACTTTAATCAAGCTGTCTGTAGCTGTTTTGTGTTTCTGAGCTTCAGCGTCTGGTTTCTCGCAGCTCCAGAACTTCAGTGTGACTTTGAAGACGGGCTGTGCAACTGGAAACAAGAAACCAAAGGAGGAGATAATTTTGACTGGACTCTCATTAATGGCCCAACTCCAACCTTTGACACAGGCCCCTTTAAGGACCACACATTGGGCTCTTGGTACGGCCACTACCTTTACATCGAGTCCTCTTCCCCGCAGGAGTTTAAAGACACAGCTGTGCTGCTGAGTCCAGTCTTCAAACCCACCTACAAGCCTGGAAAAGACCACTGTGTTTTCCGCTTCCACTACTGCATGTTTGGGCGTCATGTGTTCAGCCTGGCAGTGTACCTGAGGACCACAGCTACAGGCAAAGGCCCTTTGCTCTGGGCAAAATATGGAAACCAGGGAAACCTGTGGCACAGGAAGACTCTGTACCTCCACAGCGCTCAGCCTTTCCAGGTAACTGGTCAAACAGAAGAATTTGTATGTTTTAGGTTTTATTCAAAAAGATTCAAGAATTGACATAATTTAGCTGAAAAAAATTAAGCGTATTTTATAAAATGGTAACTTTGCTTTTATGTTATTTCTTTGCCAACAGAGAAATGCCATTTCACCTTAAAATAAAAGTAGCATTTGTTTTCTTTAATACTTAAATGCTGGAGGAAATGCTCAAAATGTTAATCTAAAACTAGCCAGAGCTGTCAAAACAGAACATTTTTAGAATCTAATTGGCATGACAAAAAGATAAAAGACAAGAAGATCCAGTTTGTTGGTTTTTCACAATTCATAATAAAAGATATGTTAAGCAGAAACATCCAGGGATGAGAAGGTCTCAAGCAACAGAAATTTATCTACCCTTAGATTGTGAGACGTTTTTTTTTAATAAGGTCATCAGCAAAAAATGTGCAAAGCCACCAGTTTTATCACAAGCAAATAAATGATATCTCTTTAAAATCACTCTGACCTACATTAAATCTAACTGTGACCAGATATTCACTTTACGTCACAAACCTAATGAGGACATCTCAGGGGGCCTATCAGAATCTTATCAGCGAATCATATTTTTTCAAAGGAATCAACACTTTTAAATCAGTCAAACTAATCTTTTGTTTTAGTTTAGTATCTTTTATTTCTTTTCATGGGCAAACAAAACACTCTCAAGATACAATGTGRAGATTTAGGTTGCAATAACTGTAGCATTATTGCACACAACATTAAATTAACCTAATGGATGACGAGAGGATTCTTCACAACCACTAATATCTGTCATGGATAAATTAGGATGATGAACACCAACTACCAAATATTGTACATGGCCTCAAAATTCTACTGTAGAAATGTTATTTTATGCACTGGTTTGGATGTAAATCCCAGTTTATGCCTTATAGCAGGGGTGTCAAACTCATTTTCACCAAGGGCCACAAGAGCGTTATGGTGGCCTTCAAAGGGCCAGTTTTAACTTCCACATTTCTTGTTTAAATTTGACTAAACACAAAACTTAGCATTGTTTGTCTCATTGCAACAACAGAGCACCATTAACAAAAAATAACTGAGCTCTTCCTGGTATTTTGTGCATAACATGTTCTCTCATAAGCACTGAAAATACTAGGTGTACGACTGACTAAATGTGAAATAAATCATACAGAAATACTATTTAAAGTAAAAGTACAAGAGTTTAACTCACTGTTCCGTTGAGGTGAGGAGCTGCCCTCTTGAATTCTCCCACTTTCTGACAGGGAATTCCTACTGGAGGAGCGTTCCAGTTGAAATTTGTGACTTGTGAGTGGGAAATTCCCACTTCATAGTACAACTGGGCAAAAGTAGCCAGTGTAAATGCAGTGAAATGGAGATTTTACTTGGCAAATTTCATCGGCTACTTTTTGAACCCTGTGCACCTTCACCAAGTGGTGAGATGCTGTCTTTGTGTATGTAAAATAATCAACATGCATTATGGGGGATGTAGTTTATTATCAATGTTGGCTTGAAAGCAGCATTCACTTATTTTATTTTCTGTGTGCCACATAAAATGCTGTGGTGGGCCATAGCTTGACACATGCCTTAAAGCATCATCTAAAGTCATCCCATATTCCTCCATGATCATTTTGCATTCAGTCACCTTGTCTAATCCAAGGTAAACACAACTGTCAGGCAGCTAACAACAAGGCTCATTGAACTCCATATTTAAGAAAGCACTCCAGCGTTGGATAATGAAGATTTGTTTTAATTGCTTCACTGCTCACCGTCGATCACTGAGCAAGATGGTTGTCCCGTTGTCATCATTAATACGTGAGTTAAACCTGACAGGCAGTTAAAGACTTTTTCTCTCCTCTGTCACGGAAACAGCAGCTCCATTTGTCAGCTGAACTACGTGCAGACAAGGAAATGGTAAAAAGAAACTGACACTGAATAACTTCATTCAAATAAACACTCATTCACTTGTAAACAGGGTGAGGCAAAAAAAAAAAAAACGGCTACAATTCAAGGAATAAAAGAAAAAACAGAGAACATTTGAATTTGAACTGTGGAATAATGTAACAACAGTTATTGCTTTCATCACAGCTAAACTGATGAAAACAACATCAAATAAACTGGTTAAGTTTAGTTTAATTAACAAAATATATATAAATTGACGAAATAGTGACTCATTCCATTATATATTCTCGCTCATTAATCCTCTAATTAGATTAATTTGTTTTAGGATAAATTTAAATAGTTTATTGCTGTTGTAGTGCAATGGAAACACGTTGGTGTTTGTAACATTTAACCTGAGGGATATGTTCAGCTATCAGACCCCTTCTACCAAGTAAAGACTTATGTTTTAATATATTTTTTATTTATTAAATGTGTAAAATAAATGCAGCATTTGTAACGTTTGTGATAAAAGCATTTTCTCGCTGATTTATTAGTTACAGTAGCTGATTTGTAATTGCTTGATTACTGATTTGCAAATTATGGATCTCTTTCAGCTTTAAAGTGATTGCCTAATCATTTCAATAATTATTTGTTTGTATTCTTGTCACTTTCTTTGCTGCCAGATTTTAATTGAAGGCACAGTTGGAGATGATTTTAAAGGAGACATTGCCGTCGACGACCTTTCCTTTCTGAACTGTGAGACAATAGATGGTAAATGATTACACATAAAGCACATTGAAACATACACACAAGGATTTATTTTAAGGCATTACTTTTTTCTCTGTTGTTCTCTTGTTATTTCCAGGTGAACTCCCCCCACCGATCACCCCAGCGACGACCCCCCCAGCCACCACCGTTCTGCCCCACAGCTGCCCAGAAGGGCAGTTTGTGTGTGGAGCGTACGGCGAATGTGTTAAACTCAGTCAAGTGTGCGACTTCAAAAACGACTGTTCTGATGGGTCAGATGAAACAAACTGCGGTAAAAGATTTTTTTAAAGACCTATACATTTATTACGTTCACCATTATTGTTGCATTTATTCATTGTTCTGTTCTCCTCCTCTTTTATCCTTCAGTAAAGGAAAGATGTGATTTTGAAGGAGGTGATACGTGTGGTTGGACAATCTTCCAACCTTCTTTAGTCCTGAACAATGCCTTTATCTGGGCGACGAACCAAGGAGAAACAATTCATGATGGAGAGCAGGACCACCGTCCTGCAAACGATCACACCTTGTATGTGTTGAACCTCAGATTATGATTAATTTTTTTGTAGATTTGAGTTGAATATTATAATCAATAACTAACTGAAAAAGAATCGTCAAGCAATTTTAATCTCAACAATGCAAATATGCATGTGGCCCTAAAATTTAAATTATTTTATTGTCATGATTATGCTTAAAATTTTATTTTTTTAAATTATAAGAGCTTATGATAAACTCAATATACAGCGGGTAAAATAAGTATTGAACACGTCACCATTTTTCTCAGTAAATATATTACTAGAGGGTATTGAACACACTTACTGAAATTTATCTAATACTTTGTACAAAAGCCTTTGTTGTCAATGACAGCTTCAAGACGCCTCCTATATGGAGAAACCAGTCGCATGCATTGCTCAGGTGTGATTTTGGCCCATTCTTCCACACAAACASTCTTCAAATCTTGAAGGTTTCGTGGACCTCTTCTATAAACTCTGATCTTTAGTTCTTTCCATAGATTTTCTGTTGGATTCAGGTCAGGTGATTGGC